TTATTGCCAGCTTTCTGTGCTGTATTTTTATTACGGTTAAATTGTGAATTAGCATCAGCCATGTTCTTTGTGATTCCCAGTTTGGAGAGTGTGTGCTTTCGTTTCCTTGTGTGTCTGTACCTGTTTACTTGTCTGGGTGTGTTCATACCATGTTCCAGTACTTGTCAATGTGAACATGAAGGGGGTGCAGAGTTTAGAATCCTTCACTTAGAGGTTGGGTCATTTCTGAGCTCATAGACTGCTTCCTCACTATCTTTCTTATTATTATCAACATTATAAAGGATAGCAGGAAGTCTGACTTCTAATCCACGCAATTTGTAGTTTAGGGCAATGGCACCATAGTCTCACTGGCCTCAGTTCCTACATGTTCAAAGTAAAGAAGTCTTTGGATTCTTATATTGGCCTAAAGTTTGTATGTTACACAAGTAAATGGATCCAGTCTCATTTTTTGTAAGTTTTGAAAGTTGATAGGTATAGATGAGAATAGTAGATACTTAATAAGTAGTATTGAGATGTAAACTTTCATCTATACTTTCATCTTAAACTGTAAATAGACATTAATCATTTTTTTACTTTAGTTTGACCCTCCTACAAAACATGAAGTTTTTAAGAGAGTGCTTTGGCAAAATAACTAGTATCTTTTTTTTTTTCTTTTTGGTCAATCATGGAGCTTGAACTCAGGACCTGGACACTGTCCCTGAGCTCTTTTGCTCAAGGCTAGTGCTTTCCCACTTTAAATCACAGCTCTACTTCTGGTTTTTGAGTGGTTAATGGGAGATAAGAATCTCACTGGGGCTTTTCTGCTGGGGCTTGCTTTGAAATTGTGATCCTCAGATCTCAGCCTCCTGAGTAGCTAGGAGTACAGACATGAGCCCCTGGCACCTGGCTTGGGTTTGTTTTTTGTTGTTGTTGTTAACTCTGTGTGTGTGTGTGTGTGTGTGTGTGTGTGTGTGTGTGTATTCTCTTTTGGTACTGTGGGTCAAACCCAGGACCTTGTACTTGCTAGGCAAGCACTTTACCACTGAGCTATATCCCAGACCAATTAGTATCTTTTTCAACCCATAAAACAGTTTAGGAATAAAAATCTTGTTTATCTTTGGAAAGAAAAGAAGTGCAGCTGCTGTGTGTTTTTAGATTACATAGGCAGAGGTTTAGATTTGAACATAGTGGAATAATAATAAGAAACAATAAAAGAATTTGGTTTTGGTGTAGTTTGATTTCTAGTAGTTAAGAAATATATAAGGATAGGGGCTGGGAAGGTGGCTCAGTAGTAGAGCGCTTGCCTTGCATGCCTAAAGCCCTGGGTTCAATTCCTCAGCACCACATAAGCAAAAAGAAAAAACCCGGAAGTGGCGCTGTGGCTCAAGTTCTAGAGTGCTAGCCTTGAGCTGAAGAGCTGAGGGATAGCACCCAGGCCCAGAGTTCAGGCCCCACGACCAGACCCCCCCCCAAAAGAAATATATAAGGATAAAATAATTACATTAAAAAGAATTGTCTTGTGGAAAGGTTTGAGGTTTTTGAGTCTATATGATGAGAAATACAATAGTATTAACTGTTATGTAATGATGATCCTCTAATGTTATTTAGGTCAAGTGTCCCTATTTCACATTTCATTATTGGTAATGCTTCATGTTTCCTTTGTGCAGCATAGCATGATATTTTAAAATTTAACTTGTGATTAATTATAATAATTATACTTATAAATTTATGAATACAATATGGTTTCATACATGTGTACATTTTATAATGATCAAATCAGGATAATTAGCAGTCTATAACTAAACGTTAATCACTTCTTTATAATTAAAAATCATTCTTCTATCTACCTTGAAATATATACTGTCATTCATGTTAATCATCCTATTGTATAAAAGAACCTACTATATAATAGAACATTAGAATATACTTCCAATCTAACCTATTCTAATCCAACCTATTGACCAGTCTCTCCTCGTCTATGGTACCCAGTTTGTCAGTCTCTGCTAACCCCCGATATACTCTACTTCTGTTGAAAGGACTTTTTTAGATGCCACATATGAGTGGGGTTATGTAGTAATTTGTCTTTCTATGTCTGTTTGTTTCAGGTACTGTCCTCAGGCTTTATCCCTGTTGCTTCACACATCATTCTTTTCTGCAGTTGAGTCATACTCCATTGTGTGTCTGTGTGGGTGTGTATGCCACACTTTCATCTTTTCATCCATTGATGGACATCTAGGTTGATTCATTAACCTGGCTATTGAGAATAATGCTGCAATAAATGTGTGCAGATATTGCCTTACATCCTGATTTATCTCCTTTGGATATATGACTAATTTTGGAATTGTTGCTAATTCGGTTTTTGTGTTTTGAAGCAATATCAGTTTATTTTTCTGTAAGTCAGATTCCTTTTTTCCTCCTGTAACCTTTCAAACATTTTGGCGGTGTTGAAATTTTAAGGTAGAAGGTTAAAAAATCAGTTGTTCCTCTTAATTTTCTGGTTAAAAAAGACAATGAGGTGAAAAATGCTCTGACTTTTCATTTTTTAATGTTCAAACTAGTTTCAAGTCTTATTAACTTGTATAATCTTTTAAATCCTGACCTCCAGTTCCAAGTTGAGATGTGTAATAAAAATTAGAGATAACGTGTGGAATGTGTACAGCCACCATATGGTAGGTAGATGCTTGCTTTGTGGTAGTATGAATATTGTCAGTAAGTTAAACATATGTATTGTGACTATCAAAACAATTTTTCCTTATTGCTGCCTGGTCAATATTACTTCTGCTGTCCTATCTAGGAGTCAGTGAAATTGGATTCCAGTGCTATTTTGCCACTGAACAACTGGGTAGTCTTAGAAAATAAACAACCTTGATGGGTCTTGGTTTCATTTATCTGAATGCTAATTGTCATTATCATAGCCTTTATGACCTCTAAAATCTTTTTAGTTGTAAAATTCTATAATTTCTAAAATATTGTGATATTACATTCATACTGAAAGCGAACCATAACATTCTAAAATGACTGAAATTCTGTATTTCAAAGAAATTCGTTAAATTATATGTAGAAATTTCTCATTTTGACATAAAATTTATTAGTGACTAATTTTTCTTAGCTAAAATGCTTAGATCTTAGGTAAGAAAAGAGTTAAATATTGCTAAATTAGAGTAAATTTGAAACACTTAATCTTGCTCCAGCAAATAAAATGGACTAGATTCTCACACCTGTGTCTTTTCAGCGAATCTTTTTATGTGTTTTATATGAGGAGTTGCCTCGGGAGCAGTTGTTGCGCAGACTGTTTTCACAAGACCTGTGCACTTCCCTGGCTTTCTGCCACTTGAGCCATACCTCCACTTCTGCATTTTTATTTGTTAACTGGAAATGAGAGTCTCTCAAATGTGTCTTTCGGTGCTTGATCTTCAGAGCTCAGCCTTCTGTAACTAGTTGTTGCTGTTGTTGTTTTAAAGAGATCATTTACTCACACTGAAATTCTTTCTTTTTTTTGGGGGGGGGTGTCCAGTCATGGGACCTGAACTCTGGGCCTGGGTGCTGTTGCTCAGCTCTTTAACTCAAGGCCACTTTTTCTTTTTGCTTATGTGCTGCTGAGGAATTGAACCCAGGGCCTCATGCATGCAAGGCAAGCGCTCTACAACTGAGCCACCTTCCCAGCCCGTTCTGTAGCTAGTATTATAGGTATGAACTGCTGTCACCTTACTTGTTCTTTTTTTTTTTTTTGTATCCCCCAAAAGCAGTAATGAAGAATTCATGCAAAACAGTAATTGTATGAAAGTCATGAGTATTATCCCTCTTTTAGAATTGAGAAATCTTGAATGGCTATAAAATATTGTAAGTCTCGGGGCTAGTGTTAGATAATTCATTTCAACTTAACAGATTCTTATTGAGCATCCTTTATATTCTAGGCACTTAGTACAGGTGGGATATAGAGGTATATTCTAATCTTTCGCTCCTTGAACTCAGAGAAATTGCCTAATGTGCTAGTAGCTCTCTGCCACTTACTTTTCTAGACTTCTTCCATCTCTAGATTTTTTTTACTGTTTCTTTTTCTCCCTGTTTTTGTTTTCCTTACAAGGCCTTCTAAACTTTGTGTGTGTGTGTGTGTGTGTGTGTGTGTGTGTGTAAGTCTTTTCTTTACTGGCTTCCTTTACCATAGAATTTCTTATGACAGGCTTACCTCTCAATATATACAGTTGTTTGCTATACTTTTGTTTGGTCACATGCAGATTTGTCACTCTAGTTGACAAGAAAGCTTCTCAAGGGCGTATGTGTCATGAATAACATCATTGACAGTTTCTTTTGGTCACGCCAGCATAGTTCTTGGCCTTTACTTCCTAGATCTTTGATCTCTTGCCCATTTGAGAAGACCAAACACAAAGAGCACTTCTAATGCACAAGGGTAAAACTAAAACAAAATATTATTGGTTGTACAAAAATGAAAAACTTCTAACTGAAAAGTTCATGGTCTTGATGAGTTGTTCTGCTATGGTGTAATTAAAAACTCACAATCAAATTCTTAGGCTTCTTGTCTCAGTAGCTGGTTCCTTAATACTTAAAATAATTTTACTACATAGTGAGTAGGCTGAAAGGTTAATTGTTTCTGAGCTGAAGAAGGAACCTTAGTTACTGGCCTTTCCTCTAATATATGATTAATGTTAGTAGATTACCATCATATACTGTCTGTGCAGGATGACGAATCATCCCATACTTATATATTTTCATAAGTTTTGAAGGTACAGGTGAAACAGTGAAAAGACTGCTTCTTAAAGTAAGTAAAATAAACAGAAGGAACATCCTGGATTATTAGACAGTATTTGTCTGTAGAATTCTCAACTTCTTGCCACTCAGTATCTCATTACTTTCCTGGGAGGTTAGGTGGGTATCTTGATCAGCTAATGATCTTCTAGTGTTCATGTATTTATTTCAAGGATATGTTCCATCAATCCTGAATAACAATTATTGCAATAAAAATAAAAATTAAGCATTCTTAATATTCTCTATTTCTTTATAAGGCACAGTTGGTGGATCTGAGATCTGAACTGACAGAAACCCAGGCAGAGAAAGTTGTACTGGAGAAAGAAGTACATGATCAACTTTTACAGTTGCACTCTATTCAGCTCCAGCTTCATGCTAAAACTGGTCAGAGTGTTGACTCTGGTACTATAAAGGCAAAGTTGGTAAGTAGGTACTCAACAGTATTGTAGAGGATATATAAAACAATTTTTAATGATGCTTTTATTATCAAATGTTAAATATATTCACTGGGGAAATATTAGAAAGTACAGGAAATGTAGTTTGTGATCATAGGTTCACAGTATCAGAAGCAGGAGATTATCAGTGGTAATATTAATAATTACCTGATGGTTTGAATTTTATTCTGTTTAAAAATATACATATACACACATTAAATATATTCAGGGTATTCATGATTATAACAAAAGCAACTTTTTGTTCTTCTTTGTCAGTTAGAATCAAAATCAGCTTCATATAACAGAAATCCCAAGTAACATTGGGATTTGAATAGTATTCATTTTTGCATAGTACTTACTTTTCTCCCCAAAGAATCCCAAGGTAGGCATTCAGGAACTGATACAGCACCTCCATAGGGACCATGCATCCAGGTTCCTTATTTTATTGTTCTCTGCCATATTTAACCCATCTGCAGAATTTCTTCATGACTGGGTTCCAGGCAGAAAGGGAATTATCTAAGGGAGGGGTAAAAAGATTCATTAAATTAATTAATTCTCAGCTGTGTTAGCCTTCTTAAATAATTTTTCATGGAATTCCCAATAATTTCTGTCAGCATCTCATTGCCTACCCTACCTGCATGTCAGCATCCTACTTGATCACATGGCCACCTCCAATAACATCAGATTTCTTTTAATAGGAAAGGGAGGAAAATGGAATGAAACAAGTTTCATTTGCTCTTCATAGATTATAAGCATTTTCCCTACCACTGAACACTTAAAAATGTCTGTATATTATGAGTTTACCATGTGATTAATATAGTTTTAATAGAAAAGAAATTTAGGTCTCATTTCAGTCTAACCTTATCTGTATTAAGCATGTTTATTTATTGATTATATACATGGGTATTGAATATATATGTGTACTGAGCATATATATGCCCGTGTATGTGTATTGAACATACGTAATGTACCAGATATTTTTAATGATACAGAGAATTTAATAATTAAGACAGAGCTTGGGAGAGGTACAATGTGAAGTAGTGTTGATAGTGTGATGAGAGTTAATATTTTTTGTTATTTATTTTCAATTAATTTTGTTTGATGTCTAGTACAGATGTATTAGAATTGATTTACATGAGTATCTTTTCCTAAAGTTCTTTCAAATTCTGAAGGTATATGAATCTAAGTAGTGTCACGTAATTAATAAAAGCCATACTATTTCTTTGAGATATTTGATATTAACATTAAGAAAACAATCTACATTTTCACTTAATAATTTAACCTCAAGTTTTATTGTTACAAGTTGTTGGTACTGTAAAGGAAAGAATACTGAAACAGTTTTGATAACTAGTTTTGATTTTAAAATGTTTTAATCCACTACTATAAAATAGTCATTGTTAATAGATTTGTAAATATATTTGTTCTAGTGAACCTTACCCAAGTGGCATTCACTTCCGGTAATTTTTCTTAGAAAGATTATACCACTAGATAAATTTATTTGTTTGATGGTTTTCTAATTATAAAACTTTTTTCTTGTATCTTAAGTCTGTCCCCTCTGTGGAGGATCTGGTAAGTATGGTGTCATTTGTGTTTTGCTTTAATATGTCATGCTGAAGTGTTTTATTTGCATATTACATGTTGTCACTACTTGTGTTTGAAAATAACGTTAATGATTGCAGCTTATCAGTGTTCAATACCTGAAATGCTCAGTGATGGTCTACTGTACCTTTCTCACTGCATGTTGTTAAAGATTCTTTTTTTGTTTGTGATTTATAGCCATTAATGCAGAACCTATCAGTTTCTCTGTTTTGTTTGTTTTATGTATTGTGCCTATCCTGGGGTTTAAACTCAGGGCCTGGGTCACTGTCCCTGAGCTTTTTTGCTCAATGCTCACATTCTACCAGTTGAGCCACAGCTCCACTACAGGCTTTGTGGTGGTTAATTGGGGATAAGAATTTCACGGACTTTCTTTCCCAGGTTGGCTTTGAACCCTAGTTCTCAGATTTCAGCCTCCTGAGTAGCTTGGATTACAAATGTGAGCTAGGAATATACCTGAGCTCAGCTGAACCTATCAGTTTTTGGCGACTTCATGAATTACAACTTTTTCAGATTTCTACCTTACTTTTTATTTGTTTTTCAGACTTCTACTTTAAAGAAATGGGAGTTATATTAAGCAGGTCTAGTTTTTAACTCCCTCGGTTTCTATTTGAATTTATTTCCAAAAGAAGAACGTGCTTGTTGTTTTCTTCATTCACTGAATATATAAAGACTTTTCAATAGGCTTGAGAATAATTGACCTTTACAACTGGATTCTCAGAATTAACAGAAATTATTTTCAAAATAGCAATATGGGCTGAGAAGGTGGCTCAGTGGTAGAGCACTTGCCTTGCATGCATGAGGCCCTGGGTTCGATTCCTCACCACGACATAAGCAAAAAGAAAAAAGCCAGAAGTGGTGCTGTGGCTCAAGTGGTAGAGCGCTAGCTTTGAGCTGAAGAGCTGAGGGACAGCGCCCAGGCCCAGAGTTCAGGCCCCACGACCGGAACGCCCCCCCTCAAAAAAATAGCAATATGTAAATCCTAAATATCTTTCCCATTAACCTCAACTTATCAGGTTCCAGTTTGTCTTATGGCTTTACTTTTTTCAAAACTATATTCTCTGAATATTTAAAAATAAGAACTAAACTTCATTTTTCAAAGTAACAAAAAGCTTATCTAAAAATGGAACAAGGGGGCTAGGAAGGTGGCTCAGTGGTCGAATGCTTGCCTTGCATACATGAGGCCCTGGGTTCGATTCCTCAGCACCACATAAGCAGAAAACGCCGGAACTGGTGCAGTGTCTCAAGTGGTAGAGCTCTAGCCTTCAGCTGAAGAGCTGAAGGACAGCACACAGGCCCCCAACCTGCAAAAAATAAAAATAAATAAAATAAAAATGGAACAAGGGGCTGGGAATGTGGCTTAGTGTTAGAGTGCTCGCCTAGCATGCATGAAGCTGCCCCAGGTTTGATTCCTCAGTACCACATATTAGAGAAAAAGCTGGAAGTGGTGCTCTTGTTCAAGTGGTAGAGTGCTAGCAAAAGCAGCTCAGAGACAGTGCCCAGGCCCTGAGTTCAAGCCCCAGGACTGGCCAAAAACAAACAAACAAAAAACCAAAAATGATCTTTAAATCTAGAAGTCGTTATGCGCAGCTTCTCTAATGTTGTTCTTGCTTACATCTATTAATTCTAGGCCTCAGAGTTTGTCAGCCTCATAAAGGTTTGACTCATTAAAAAAAATGGCTGATTAATACACATTTGGGACATCAATACTGTAATATAAAAAGCTCTTTAAAGTAATTGAAAGTAGGCAATCCTCACCATAGTTTATTTAGACTATATACCAAAAAAATGTGGGTCTCCCAAAATTTTTTTTTCTAAACTGGGTGCTTGTGGCTCATGCCTGAAATCCTAGCTACTCAGGAGGCTGAGATCTGAGGATCAAGGTTTGAATCCAGCCTGGGTAGGAAAGTCCTTGAGACTTTTGTCTCCAATTAACTACCAAAAAGCGGGAATAGAGCTGTGGCCCAAGGACAGCACCCAGGCCCTAAGTTCAAGCCCCAGGACAGGCACAAAAAATGTATTTTCTGAAATGGCACTAATATCAGTAAACGTCATAAGTTTTTTTTGTTCATACTATTGAAAGTTTGTTTGGGTTTTTTTTTTTTTTTGGTTGTTGATGATGTTTGTGGTGAGAGGGAGGGTCTGACAGCTGCCTTTTTAGGAAATAGGTTCTGAAGTACATTTTGAGATGGACATGACTATTAGGTCTATAATACAGAACTCTGAAAGCTGCAGCAGGATTGTAAGTTCAAGACCAGCCTAGGCTATATAATAAGACCTTGTGTGAAAAGGGAAGGAAAGGAAGAGAAGGAGGGACGAAGAGAGGAAGAAAAGGAAGAAGGAAAAGGAAAAGAATGAAAGAGGAAAAAAAGACAAGAAAAAAGAGCTATTAATTCTAAAGTTGTTATAAATGGAAGATTCTAGGTTAATTGGATTTTCTATAAACAGTATCTGGAAAATATGTTCTAGGTGTGTGTGTGTGTGTGTGTGTGTGTGTGTGTGCGTGCGTGCGTGTGCGTGCGTGTGTGTGTGTGTGTGTGTGTGTGTGTGTGTGTGTGTGTTTGTATGTTGGGTATGCCAGTCCTATGACTGGGCGCTGTCCTGAGGTTATTTTGCTAGTACTCTACCACTTGATCCACAGCTCTACTTCTCACTTTTGCGTGGTTAATAGGAAATAAGAGACTCATGGACTTTCCTGCCTGGGCTGGTCTTGATTCTCAGCTCTCATCCTCTTGAATACCTAGGATTACAGACATGAGCCACCAGTTCTCAGCACTTTTTTATAGAAGTTATAAAATCTGCTAATCTTCCTTCTGTTTATCACTTATGTAACAACTTTCTTAATATATATATTTTTCTTTTTGATGCTGGGGATCAAACCCAGGGTCTTGGGATTACTATTACAATTGATCTATACCCCAAACTTGTTATATAAGAAATACTTGAAGGGCTGGGAAGTTGGCTCCGTGACAGAGTGCTTGCCTTGCACACATGAGACCCTGGGTTTGATTTCTCAGCACCACATAAGTAGAAAAAACCAGAAGTGGCGATATTGCTCAAGTGGTAGAGGGCTAGCCTTGAGCTAAGAGCTGAGGGACAGTGCCCAGGCCTGGAGTTCAGGCCCCACAACTGACCAAAAAAAAAATTTTTTTAAGCCAAAGAAATGATCATTATCCCCATCATCTGATAGTTTTTTAAAAATTTTTAGCTTCTTCATATATGTATGTGTTCCTGTGTATACAAATATATATATATATATATATATAATATATACAGCTAATACATATGTGCACTAATGCATCAGTTATTCAAAACAGTAGATCAAAATGTTAAAGTATGTTCCATAAGTTGCTAAAAGGTTGATGAAATTTGTTTTGTAGCTTTTCAATATCCAGAATAAAAAGGGAAATAATTATTTAACAGTGGCAGTATAGTTGAAAAGGTCTTTGTTATTTTTTACTGGTGCTAAGGAAATTCTTCATAAAGGAGATCTTATAGTAAACCATAGGTTTGGTAAATCAGTCATTAAAAGCTGTTCTACTCATATAAATGCAAGTTTGAAGTGTTCAGATGGTCTTCTTGATCCAGAATTAATGCTTAGGATAACTTGTAGGCCCTTACTCACTCTCAGAAGCATTTATTTTCATCCCACACATTTATTCTATGTACATATTTGATTTGTAGTTTGTTTGCCTTTGGGCAATACTATTCTGTGCTCTCATTTTACTTGAAACTAAATGTCTGTGTTGTGTTTAGATTCTGCACATTACATTTATAACCTTTGATTTGTAGACATATACATACTGTAATTTTCAAAGGTAGAGCTGGTTAGAAAAATGCCCAGATTTAGAAAGAACCATATCCAATGGGCATTCTTATGCACACCTATAATCTCAGCATTCCAGAACTTGGGAGGCAAAACAAGAGGATTGCAAGTTTGAGACCATTCTGGGATACATAGCGAGACTGTCTCAAAACCTGCACAGAACCTGATTCAACCCTTAGTTCCATTTTATGAAAATGAAATGGCAGTAGTTTTATTGTATACTTGTATTTTTGGCATTTTACATTGTGTGCTTATATATATTTACTGCTAAGGAGTCATAAGTGAATTTTTGTTAAGTTGTATGTTTTTAACAAATTATAGGAAAGAGAGCTTGAAGCAAACAAAAAAGAAAAAGTGAAAGAAGCTCAACTTGAAGCTGAAGTGAAATTGTTGAGAAAAGAGAATGAGGCTCTTCGTAGACATATAGCTGTTCTCCAGGCTGAAGTGTATGGGGCACGATTAGCTGCCAAGTACTTGGATAAGGAACTGGCAGGAAGGTATGTAAAAAGTTGCTGTGCTTATATTCTTGTGACAGATTGGGTATTTAAAGAGGTTGACAGCTCATAAATAAAACATTAATTTTTACCTCAGAATTACTTTACAATTGGCAATGACTTGCACTTGTTGAATTGATATTGACCACATTATATGCTACAGGCTTATTCATAAAAAATAAATGTATTTTACAGAGACTACACACCAGATTTTAACATGTAGAATGTTGCTAACACTCTTCAGAGCATCACTTTTGAGCTACTCTTGCCTTGATACTGTGATAAGTAATAGTTACATATCAAACAGAACTTTCCTAACAAACTCTATCTTCAACCAAGTACAATGATTCATAACTATAATCTCAGCTACTAGGAAGTGGTAGATTGAGAAGATCAAGTTCCAGACTAGTGGGGGGAGCAAAAAGTTAAGAGATCTTCCCTCCCATCTCTAAAATAATCCAGGAGTCGTGGTACATTTCTGAAATCCAGCTGCTTGGGAGACAAGTGGGAGAAATAGGTCTTTGGTCAATCTCAGGCAAAAACATGAAGCCACCTCCCTCACCCCCCCCCCCCGAATAACTGAAGCCATAAGAAGGGTTGGGAGCATAGTTCAAGTTGTAGAGTGTCTACCTAATAAGTAATGAGGCACTGAGTTCAAATCTTGTAATGCAAAGAAATAAAAACAAATAATTTTTCTTGCTCCTGAAAAAAAAAACTGTTGAAATTCAATGGTTTTTTTCATAAAAACCATGAAAATCATAAAAATGGAATTCTGTTGCCATTAAATTTGTTAAGTACATACTTCACCAACTTTGGTGATTCATCATTAGTACTAAATCATTTTATGGTCATTGTTTTAATGTTACATTGAGAAGTGATGTGAAACAAAGTTCTCAGTGTCATGGTGAAGTACAAACTTTCCAAAAACATTTAAAGTAATCATTTGAAAGGCATGGTATTGATCATGGTGCATTATATTTATAAGCTGACATGTTGAATAGTAGCCCTTTGTACAATTACCTAAAGATAATAGAATGTTAAAGAAATAAAATCATTCATAAGAGAACTGGACATCCATAGCTCAATACTGAGAGCTGATGCCTGTGAAAATCTGTGATCTGAGAATCATGGTTTGAAACCAGCCTGGGCAGGAAAGTCTGTGAGACTCACCTCAAATTAACCAGAAATGCTAACGTGGAACTGTGGCTCAAGTGGCACAGAGCACTAGCCTTGAGTGAAATAGCTCAGGGACAGCACTTAGGCCTTATATTCAGGTCCCATTGTTCACACACACACACACACACACACACACACACACACACACACGGAAGAAAGGAAGGAAGAAAAAAGAAAAGAAAATTTACAAAAAATCAGAAGAAATTTTTTTGTACAGTCAGTGATGTCTATAAAGTTAATATTTAATAGTGTAGTATCTGAGTTTATTAAGTTACTCTAATTGTAAGCAAGATGTAAAACATGTTAATTGATATTGTCAGAATTTGTTTTAAGCATATATTGCTAAAGGATTTGTCATTTATGTCTTCACAAATTTCTTTTACTGATTTTCCTTTAAAGATACCTGCTTTTTTCAGTTTTAATAAATATGAAATACATTGGGAAGCTCCTCAGAATTTTATTCAAGATTCAAAGTTTTATGCAAAGCTACTTAATGTTTAGTAATTCTTCTGAACCTTGGTTAAAAACAAAAACCAAAACCAAAAAACTAACTAAACTTTCATCTCAATATGAAGGGTCCAACAAATACAGTTACTAGGACGAGACATGAAGGGACCTGCTCATGATAAGCTCTGGAACCAGTTAGAAGCTGAAATACATTTGCATCGGCACAAAACTGTTATCCGAGCCTGTAGAGGTCGGAATGACTTGAAGCGACCCATGCAAGCACCCCCAGGCCATGTATGTTGTTCTGCTGCTGCTTCCCCTTAGCCGCCTCCTTCTTGTTTGATTACAAGTCCTTTCTGTTCTTTTCTTCTAGTAGTACTTGAAGCCTTTATTCAGAAACTGAAAATGGGATTCAACTTATAAAGTAGATGAATAGTTGAGTAACTCAAAGAATGTTGGTAATGTTTCACAGACTTGCTGATGCTGTGAAAGTGATATTTCCGCACAGTGAGTCAGAACTGGCACACACGTGATACTGTTTTAAATCATGATTGAGCATGCTTAAGTTTAGCAAAAAATTGTAGTCATATTGACACATTGGCAAATATTTGAGGAAAGTTTTAAACCCAAATATAGATTCTGACTAATATTTATACCTGTTTAGTCTTAGATTATGGTAGAATTTGAGATCTATGTCCATTTGTCTATTTCTGTAGCTATCTTTGTTTATTATACAGGAGCTTTCCTTTCTATCATTAAATCTATTATATTCTATTAGAACAGATACTTGATAATACAAACCTTAATATGTGAAATCTGTCTACCTCTTATCTAGTGGCTCATATATCTTAGAATCAGGTAATGACCTTAAGTATAATTTGTTGCTTCTACAAAATTATAAGAAGATAAGTACCTAGAGTTTAGTGGAAGAATAGGGATTGTAATGTAACTTTTGCCATTGTCTTCTCTAGGACACTGATGCCTCCCTCTCCCTCGGCCCTATTAACTTCTAGGTCTATCTATTTGGGAATTGGAAAGGTTAGGAGGAAGATGGAATAGTGTCAGATACCTGAGTTATCATAGTTATTCTCATTCAGATAGCTGTTGTGAAAGTGGCTAAATATTAGGTTGAAGTTTTAGGGAATAGCCAGTTAACACAAGTACTTTATACTAAATACATGTGTCACACTTTAATCTGATGATCATGAGACTTAAACAGCATAGAGGACATCATATTTTACTGATGTTCCTACTGAGTCTGAAAGACGTAATCCAAGGAGACCACAAGGAAAGCAGGGAAGTGTTGTTTGAGAGGAAGAACAGCTTTAAGAGAATTAGCATAGCAGTACTCAAATGGGTTAAGTCCTTGACAACTATTGCTTAAGTAGATTAATCAGAAGGAATAATTTAAGTTTGGGGTTTTGCCAGTGGAATGTAATCTGGCTGTTATTGATAAAGGAAAGAAAAGATACAGGAGAGAAAAATGGGATCAATTGTAGCCATGCAGTGTTTGATGTGTCCATGTGACGCCTAAGAAGACCATCCATTTGAGCATATATAACTGGAATTCATGAGAGGAGTCTTGAGTTGAAATATTGGGAAGGTGATCGGCTATCGTATTTGAAACCATTTAATTGATTAAGTCATCATGGAAAGTATGTATAAAGTAAAAAGAATCAGGCCAAGGAGCGAAGAAAGAAAATGAATCTGCAAAGGAAACAGCTCAGATACAGACCACCTCAGAAAGCCAAGGGTAAAAGTGGGGTTCAAAACAAAGTAGCACACAGTGTCAGCTTTCTGCAGGATTCCAGTAATGTTGTGATGGCAAAATATTAATTGGATGAGCAGTATCGGTATCAGTGACAATAAAGAAAATTCCACTGGTAGTAGGTTTGGGGAAGAATCTTAATTACAATGCACAGAGTATTAGAGGCAAGGTGGTAAATATAGTGGGTTTGGGTTTTGTGTGGAAGTTAAAGGAAGAAGTTAGTGGAAGATATGCATGTGTTTTACATATTCAATATCGGAAAGCTGTAAGATTTCTTATAATCTTATTAATACTTTCTTATGTTGTATATCTATGCCAGGAAGTTAATAAATATTTCTTAAGTTATATAGCATGAGTTGTCCTCTGTTTGGTGTATTGTTTAAGTAATGCTTTTTCCCCTTTTTTCTTCCAATTAAGGATCAAGACTCCTTAAAGAAAAGTCAAGGAGTTGGTCCAATTAGAAAAGTTCTCCTTCTTAAGGAAGATCATGAAGGCCTTGGCATTTCAATTACAGTAAGAAGTAGTACTTCCTGTTTCCTTTTTACAGTTATCCAGTGCAGCCATGTGCTTTATACTAGACCCTTGGTATCTGTATTATGGTTCCAAGGAGACAGCAATTAAAAAAAATTAAAATTGTCAGGATGCAGTATTATACTGCAACTTTTGCTAAATTTCAATCCAAACTTTTCATTTTATTACTTAAGTATATTAACTTTGACCTTGATTTGGGGGTACAATTTACTTTTTAGGGAGGCAGATTTAAGAACAGGGAAACACTGAGCAGATCACACAACTTGCTTGCTTTTTTTTTTTTTTTTTTTGGTACTGGTTCTGGGCCTTGAACTCAAGGCTAGGCACTATCTTTAAGCTTTTTTGCTAAGGATAGCACTCTACCACTTGAGCCACAGCTCCACTTCTGGATTTTTGGTAGTTAATTGGAGATTAGAGTCTTGGGGACTTTCCTGCCCAAGACGTCTTTGAACCATAATCCTCAGATCTCAGCCTCCTAAATAGCTAGGATTACAGCATACCTGTAATCTGGTGCCTGGCTTCCCACGACTTAAACACAACTGACTCTAACATGGAAAGACTAAGAACTTACCAAGTGACTGTATTTAAAATTTTTGTTTTTGAAATTTCTTTTGATTTTTTTTTGTACTTTAAAAAAAAAATCACACGTGGTCAAAACTACTTGTAATGAATCCATAAATGAGGCAGTCTTGCTGTGTATATTAGGGGTTGTTGCTTCAGGCTTCTTCACTGAATAAGGTAGGTTTACTATTTGATAATACTTAGGCACTGTGTAAACTTATTAGTTTTGTGTATTATTTAATGTATACATGTTTCTTATAATTAAAAATTAATCTCATGTATACATATTTCTTACAATTAAAAATTAATCTCATGTGACTACTTTTTTTACTGCACAACCCTCAAAGTTCATAAATTTGAGTAGGAGAAATAACACATATTCATCTAAGCTAGAAACAATTAGTATGTTTCCTCAATTGTACATTGCACAACTGAATATTTTTCCATATCAGAGCAACTTTTTGAGATTCACCTTAAAATTCACCTTAAAATTATTTGAGGATATAAGCTATTTGGTTTATCCTTACCAATTCAGATTTTAGTATTCACATGTACTAGTGTATAAATTCTTTCTTTTTTTTTTTTTTTGTGTCCAGTCGTGGGGCCTGAACTCTGGGCCTGGGCGCTGTCCCTCAGCTCTTCAGCTCAAGGCTAGCGCTCTACCACTTGAGCCACAGGGCCACTTCTGGCTTTTTTTTTCTTTTTGTTTATGTAGTGCTGGGAATCGAACCCAGGGCCTCAGGCATGCAAGGCAAGCGCTCTACCACTGAGCCACCTTCCCAGACCATAAATTCTTTCTTACGTTTAATAGGTAAAGCTATTGTTTTTTGGGAGGAGGGCATTTTCGTATTTTGGGCTCTGTAATGTTTTTAGAAAAGCACATTATTAACTATTTTACAGAGCTATATCTTTAGTGATTATAGTAACCTATTTACCAAATGAAATTTCATCCACCCATTTACAGAGAGTATAAATGTTTATTTAAATATATTTTTTCTTTTTCTTGTTTGGACCTGGGCACTGTCCCTGAGCATCTTTTGATCAAGGCTAGTCCTCTACCAGTTGAACCAGAGCTTCATGGCTGGCTTTTTGGGGGTAGTTTATTGGAGATAAGAGTTTCATGGACTTTCCTGCCTGGGCTAACTTGAACCATGATCCTCAGATCTCAGCTTCCTGAGTAGCTAGGATTATAGACATGAGCTACTGGCTCCCAACTTAAATCTGATTTTTTTTTTTTTGGTCTGTTGTGGGACTTGAACTCTGGGCCTGGGTGCTGTCCCTGAGCTCTTCAGCTCAAGGCGTGAACCCTACCACTTAAGCCACAGTGCCCCTTCCGGTTTTCTGGTGGTTAATTGGAGATAAAAGTCTCATGGACTTTCCTGCCTGGGCTGGCTTTGAACTGTGATCCTCTGATCTCAGCTTCCTGAATAGGTAGGATTATAGGTGTGAGCTACTGGCTCCCAGCCTAAATGTATAATTTTTTAAGAAAATGTTTTATGCCTAAACTATAACCATTGTTTACAAGTATAAACTAACTGCCTTTTGTTCTTAGGGTGGGAAAGAACATGGGGTTCCAATCCTCATCTCTGAGATCCATCCAGGACAGCCTGCTGATAGGTGTGGAGGACTGCATGTTGGGGATGCTATTTTGGCAGTCAATGGTGTTAACCTAAGGGACACAAAGCATAAAGAAGCTGTAACCATACTTTCTCAGCAGGTAAGTTCTCTTCGTGTAAAAAGTAACATCATTGATAACAAGACCATATAGAGATATTAGATATCACAATACAATGTGAGTAGATTTATTTCAATCTTGGAATAGTAGCAACTTTCATTTAGTTTAATTTTATTATTTCAACAAAGTAAATGCTAGTTCTTAGCAATTTAAAGATTTGCTCATAGCTACAAAGTAAATAAATTACAGAATTAAGATATGTATCCCTAATGTCGTATTTGTTAGCCAGTGGTCTTAAATTTTTCTTTTCTTTTCTTTTTTTTTGTTGTTGTTGGTAATGGTGCTTTAACTCTAGGTCAGCTCCTCAGCTCAAGGCTCTACCACTCGAGCCACTTCCAGCTTTTTCTATTCATGTGGTGCTGAGGAATCAAACCTAAGGCCTCATGTCTGCAAGGCATGTACTCTACCACTGAGCCACCTTTCCAGCCCCATTCTTTCCTCTTTTGAGAATGGGCTTTCAGGATTTAGATTTTGGGTGGTACAATGAATTGTCTTGAGGATCATGTTACAATTGAATCTCCACTGAATATGAATTTACATCTCATTAGCTCAACTCTTCATAATGCATAACTTTTCTTGACAATCTCACTAAATAGTTGTATCAGTCAGGCGCTGATGGCTCACACCTGTAATCCTAGCTACTCAGGAGGCTGAACTCCATGGATTGCAATTCAAAGCCACCCTGGCTGGCCAGGAACATTTGTGAGACTCTTTATCTCCAATTAACCACCAGAAAACCAGAAGTGGCACTGAGCGCTAGCCTTGAACTGAAGTGCTCAGGGACAGCGCCCAGGCTCAGAGTTCAAGACCCACAACTGACAAAAAAAAAAAAGTTGCATCGAAAGAAAGACTTTCTAATCATATTAGCAAGTCTTCCTTCTCATGCCTATAATACTAGCTACTCAGGAGGCTGAGGTCTAAGGATCCGGGTTCAAAGCCAGCCTGGGCAGACAAATCCAAGAGACTTTTATCTTTCAATTAACCATCAAAAAGCTGAAAGTGGAAATGTGACTCAAGTAATAGAATGCTAGACTTGCGCCAAAAAGCCAAGCAAGATTGTGAGGCTCTGGATTCAAGCCCAGTAACCAACCCCCCCCTCCAAAAAAAAAGGTCTTCATTTCATATTAATCCTTGAATCTGAGCCCACCCACAGGCATATTTCTATCACTGCGTGGTATTTTTAAAGCATTATCTATTAAGAGATATTTTGGAATGCTACTGATCTCTCAAGTTAGTATTTTCTCAAGTCAGTGTGACTATAATCCAAAAATGTGAAGAGTAGGATGGATGTCAGCTATGAGAAAGGAACTATGAAGAGGCAATAATAAACTTTTAACATACAACTTTTCAGGCATAACTTCAAACTGGTAGGAAAGAAGAACACATAAGAGATTCAGTAGTTAGCAGCCAAAATAGCATGCTTTCTCTAGGACATAGGAAAGCTATAATTTTCAGTTAAAAAGAGCAGACCTATATATAATGATTGTCATCTCTTGGTAAATGACCTTTATAACTTAGAATTTTTTAACATAAAATGATGTATAATTTTGCACTTGGGTATAAAGTTGTTATTAAAGAACAAAGACTTTGGAATCAAATTTCTATTTTTCCATGCACTTGTTTATATTGAGGGTTATCTTTCTCTGTTACTCAGTGAGGTTTTTTTGTTAGTGTAAAAAAGACTACAATGGTGGTGTTATTCTGAGAATTGAAGGCCATAATTTTATGTAGTAAATATAGTAATTATTATCATTAACTAGGCAGAACACCTTGATTAGTACTCTGTCTGATACTCAGAAAGTTAGGGAAATGTTCAAGAATTTTTCAGTAAGAAACAGCAAATCATTATCTAGGGATTTCTTGAATTAGAATGGAAAGTTTGTGAGGTCTCCTTAGTGTAAACTTAATTAACATCTGATTATTTAGATGGATTTGCTAAATTGCTGTGTAAAGTACAAAATGGCAAAAATGGTTTGAAACAGTAAATTTCCAAAATTATGTAAATTTAATAGGCATCCTTTTTTCCCCCCTTTTCTGTTAGCAAAAAATATTGTAGTTAATTGACAGCTAGTATAGTTAAGTGGGAGTTTCTCAAGAAGATTTGAGGGATTGGTCTGGACAGTTAGAGCCTCTCAAACCCTTTTTACCTTTGAGATTCTAGAATTTCATTATTTGTTGTCTGAAAAGGAGCAGTATCTGTAGTCTCCATTCCTAAGCCTACCTCAAAAGATTTTTTTAAATCCAGTTTTGATTGGATTTGCCGTTGGTTTAATTGCTTGTTTTCATTCTCTTTTTAGAGGGGAGAGATTGAATTTGAAGTCGTTTATGTGGCACCTGAAGTGGATTCTGATGATGAAAATGTGGAGTATGAGGACGAGAGTGGACATCGCTACCGTCTCTATCTTGATGAGTTAGAGGGAGGTGGTAATACAGGCGCTAGTTGCAAGGATGCAAGTGGGGAGCTCAAAGTGTTACAAGGTAAAAATCACTCTTAAAAATCATAATGAATGTAGTAATTTTTTAAGTGTAAAGCCTTAGGTATTCAGTAATACTATTTTAATGATGAGAAACCAAAGCAATGAATAGTTTCCCTTGGGTATAGTTTTAGTGTACACTAGTAACTGCTGAAATTTTATTTATATGTGTGTTTTCTAGAATCATCTCGGACTATGGTTCTTGAAAACAAAGAAAATTCAAGATTTCTAGAGCCTGAAACAGATCATCCATGTTTTTAGAGTAGATCTTAGCATGAAATCTATTAACATAAGTTCTTCACTCTTAACAGCAAATTAGAGTCATTTTAGGCTGATATCTCATCATTATAGAGTCAAGATACGTGATCCTGGAGACCTTTGATTTAGGTCCATTGCTATCATGTATATATACATATTAAAGAAAAACCTGGGACTTTTTTTTTAATCTAGAGCAGGGGGTTCTCCAATTATGATACATAGGAGTTTCTAAGAGCTTTGGGAGTTTATCATGAAGTCACAGCTTTTCAAAATAACACTGTGATCACATTTATTTGTTGATATTTACACTAATGGTACAAAGAGCACCTTCATGTCTAAACTATTACTTACACTTGTAGTAAACTAAACCAAAGCAAAGGTGAGCCAGGTCCTAGTGGCTCAAGCCTGTAGTACTAGCTACTCAGGAGGCTAAAATATGAGGATGACAGTTTGAAGCCAGTCTGGGCAGCAAAGACCATGAGATTCTTACAAACAATTAACTACCAGAAAACTGGAAGTGGTGTTGTGGCTCAAAGTGGAAGATTGCTAGGCTTGAGCAAGAAAGCTCCAGGATAGCACCCAGGCCCTGAACTCAAGCCCCACAACCAGGAAAAAAAAAAAAAATCAGTGGTGAGACTTTGGCTATCTTCTGTAAAATCAGATACTAGGAAGATGTACAAAATGCAAAATTAGAAAGTAATGATAGAATGGAAGAAAGACTGCCTCTTCAGTAAATGGTGCTGGCAAAATTGGTTCAACACCTGTAGAAAACTAAAGCTAGATTCTTATATATCACCCTGCACCAGAATCAACTCCCAATGGATCAAAGATCTCAGAGTCAAAGCAGACACCCTGAAAACATTACAGGAAGGAATAAGAGAAACACTAGGGCTCCGAGGCACAGGCGGAAATTTTCTTAATAGAGACCCAGAAACACAACAAATCAAAGAAAGGTTGGACAAATGGGATTGCATGAAACTGCAGAGCTTCCGCATGGCAAAGGACATAGCTAACAAGATCAATAGAAAGCCGATGGATTGAGAGAAGACCTTCACTAGCTACACAACAGACAAGGGTCTCATATCTAAAATATATTTAGAACTATTAAATCCCCCAACAACAAATCCTCAAAGAAACAACCACCCCATTAATAAGTGAGCTAAAGACTTAAAGAGAGACTTCTCTGAAGAGGAAACAAGAATGGCTGATAGACACATGAAGAAATGCTCAACTTCTCTAGCCATAAAACAACATTGAGATTCTTCCTCACCCCAGTTAGAATGGCTATAATCAAGAAATCTAATAGCAAATGATGCTGGATGTGGCCAAAAGGGAACCCTACTACATTGTTGGCAGGAGTGTAAACTTGTTCAACCACTCTGGAAAGCAGTATGTAGGTTGATCAAAAGACTCCACATAGAACTCCCCTATGACCCAGCAATCCCACTTTTGGGCATTTACCCAAACAATCACAAACAAGGCCATACTAAAGGTACCAGCACAACTATGTTTATTGCAGCATTATTCACCATAGCTAAGATAGGGAACCAACCCAAATGCCTCTCAGTAGATGAATGGATCAAGAAAATGGAATTCTATGCTTCCATCAGAAAGAATGACATTGTCCCATTTGTTAGGAAATGGAAAGACTTGGAAAAAAATCATATTAAGTGAAGTAAGCCAGGCCCAAAGAAACAGAGGCCCCCTGGTTTTCCTTATTTGCAATAACTAGTATATGTCTAGGACAAGCAGAAAAGGTCAAAAGCTATATGCATATGACATATGTAAGCAAAATGAACCCCAAGATAGAGACACAAGAGGTTTTATATTTGTTGTTGTTATTTTATGTACTTATACTATGTGATTTTTTTTTTTAGTTTCTCTTGTACGTTCTTCCCCCTTGGTATAACATAACCCTGTTTTCACTCTATTTGATTCCAGTGCCCTGCATCTTGTATGTACATTTTTCTAATTTGGGGAAGAAAAATAACAAAATGCTGAAGTAAGGATATAGATTGACCCATTGTAGCAATAAGATGTACAAGACACTATGTTGAAAAGGAACTTTACAATTTCAGGATTGGAAGGGGGAGGTGGGGAAGGAAGGAATGGTAAGGGGAAAAGCAAAGGGGGGGATAACAATGCTCGATAGGAAATGTACTCATTGCCTTACTCATGTAACTGCAACCCCTCTGTATAGTATCTTTACAATAAAAATACATTTTAAAAAACAAAATAATGATATTCTTTTGATTAAAAATTCTTTTTGGTTTTTGAAGATAGTTGTCATCAAACAACTCTGTGTTGTTTATATTAACATTGAGTTCTTGTCATTTTAACAATATTTTAATTTTTTTAATTTTTTTACAGTTTTCATAACTAGTATGATAATAACCATAGTCCACCTAAACCAAAACTGTTTAGAGTACTTAGTCCTTATTAAAGTATAAAGGTTTCAGAAACCAAAAAGTTGGAGAATTCATGGGCAAACAGTTTTATGATGAACCATGGCACATTTGTTAGTTTTGTATGTTAGTGTGCAAAATGACACCAGTAGCAGTTATTGTTCTCTCCGTGCATCTTAAGTAAATAGGGTAGCATCTTGTCAAAATCTTAATGTCAGACGCTTCCTACAGTTTCATTGCTTTTCATATTTTCTACTGCTTTCTGTCAATATTAGAAGGCTGTTCCTTATTTTAAGACTTCTCTATCCCTCTGCAACTTGCAGGCACTTAAGATGTGTCTCAGCTGATAACGTATGCCATGTGACAGACCACTATTAACTCCCCAGATCACAAAAACTATGTCTGTTAGATATTGATTTCTACATTTCTTCTTTGCTCACATAATAAGATAACTTATTTATTTAAAAGGTTATCATCTATCTTGTAGTTTACCCAGAATTTGTTTCAGTTTTTAGTTAGACATTATCTCTCAACATGCATGTGTGTAGTGTGTGTGCGTGTGTGCATGTGCGTGCTGCTCCTGGGGTTGAACTCAGGATCTGGGTGCTATCCCTGAGCTTTTTTGCTCAAGGCTAGTGCTTGGCTGCTTGAGCCAGAGTGCCATTTCCAGCTTTTTGGTAGTTAATTGAGATAAAAAAATAACTCATGGACTTCCCTGCCCAGACTGGCTGGCTTGATCCTCAGATCTCAGCTTCCTGAGTAGCTAGGATTATAGGCATGCGTCCCCGACACCTAGCCAATAAACTAGATTTTTAGGAATGAACTGGTATATACTTTAGTGAACTGACATTAAGTAATAAGAAGACTAAAGGGTCAAATTAAAAACCTTCACAATTCAATAGATGTAATTGTACATGTCAATTAGAAAACTTGAAAGAAAATTTTACACATTTTTTAAGTAGGTCCAACCAATAAAACTTTCAAGTATGTACAATATTCGAGCTCTAAGAAGGACAAATTCTGTTCTTAAGAAGTCATGGTGTATTGCCTGTAATCCTGATATTCAGGAGGCTGAAACCGATGGATACAGAGCTTGTTGCCAGTGTGGGCTACATTGTGAGACCCTGTCTCAAAAAATAAAATACATATAGATTTAAAACTGTTATTTTGCTGCATATTGCTACTAATTACAGCAGGCATCTCATTTTTTGCTCAGTAAAATTGTAAAACTAAGTATATTCTTAGACCATAAAGTATCTCCTTTTTTCTTTTCTTTTTTTTTCTTTCAGGATATAATAAGAAGGTAACTGATGCACATGAAAATGGAGACATGGGAACTTCAAGTGACACTCCACTAGATGACAGTGCTTCTAAATTAGATGATCTGCACAATCTGTACCATAAAAAGTCTTATTAAATTGACTGTATCTCCAGATAAGATTGTTAATCACACTATTTTAAACTTGGGGCACTAGGGAAGACGGTGACAAAGACTATACAATTTCAAGGGAGGTTGTTTGTTGCCTAAAGAAAGGCGGGTACCTCAGGGCTTCATGTGAACAATTGAAATGCATAAAACCGTTTTCTGTGGTATATCATAATTAGCTATTGCATGTAAAGCAACTTTGATTTTCCTGGAATTGTAAGCACCAAAGCATGTGTTTCCCAAAGGGATATTATATTAATAGGCTCTTAAGTACCAAATGAAGTGCTACTATTTTATTTGGTTCCTTTCCTATTTAAGAAAAGGACACTGCTAACTGGAATTTTTATAATAGGAAATGCAAGAGAGTAAGTGAATTCATCACATATGAATCCATGTATCCATAATGTTAACTGTGGAATTTCAAAAGACAGAACTTCTAATTCCATAAATTGCAGAAATGTAGGTTGACTTATTTTTGTTTGACTGAAAGAATGGTTTTATTTGTTTTTTTTAATCTGTTGTGCATACTGATAACTAAATCAATTTTCATGATCATTTGTTATAATGAGTTTGCTTTATAGCTATATTCAATGCAGTAAAAAAGTAGTTCTGTTTATGCAATCCTTTATCAATCAATGCTGCGCTAGAAATAGTTTCTGAAAAGTTACTGTATGTTTACTTTGGATTTTTTAAAAGAAATGCAGATGAGTATACCTGTTGTCAATTATGTTAACCTGTGCCTCATACCGGAGCATTACACTATTAATGTTTAGTCTCTATGTTTATTTTCTATGATCCACAAAAGACAGTTTTATATATTTTGAGTTGTTCATAAAGTTTTTCTTATGATAGTCCTAGTAGAAACAGTTCACATTTATTAGTATGTTACAAAAAAAATGTCACATTCAGCCAGTAGTTTTCTCTTTAAGTATCTGATTTACGACCATTTAAAAAGCCGAGGGACTAAAGTAGGCAGGACAAAGTGAAGACATTTTGATACAGTAATTGGTTTTCATATTGATACATATTTGCCTAAAGTAGTTTTCATATGCAAACTGTGAATTTGCAAGTTCTCTTGTCAGAGGATTAAGCACAGTGCCTCCTTTCTTAGTGTTCTGTGGGCCATTATACCCTGCTAGGCAAAGTCAAAACAGTATGTTTGCTAAAATGCAAAGTCAAAACATTTACTAATGTCAGTGTTTTAAAAGATACATTTAAGGGAATATTAAGTGTGGGGAAAATCTCTAAGGCTTTAAAATATTATCAGTATCTTCATTTCTCATTCCTGTTTTTCCCAGATGCACTATATATTTGTTCAAAGTTAAATCTATAAAATGTATATACTTTTGTTTTGTGATTTTTTCTATTTATAAACTTAATATTTTACTATTGTTCATTTATAGTTTATTGGTGGTTTTATCCCTCTGTATACCTATTGCCCTGTTAATTCATAACTAGAAGTGCACTTCATAGTGTCTTATTGTTACTGATATTAAAATACTTCATAGTTTAACACTGTGTCTGAGCAAGTTAGTATTTAAATGTACAAATGAATAAGCAAGTTACGTGTTAGTGTTTGCTCCTGCCAGGCTAGATTGTTTCAAAAGAAAGATTGTTTTGCCTCATGCATTCCTCCTATGGTAGACACCAATCTGCAAACTGGATTGTAGCTAATGTATTCATTTATTTAAAAATAAGAATTCCATCATAACAGATCAGAAAACTTTTTTGCTGTGACATAAAAACTATGTCAGTTTTTGTTTTCTTAAAATATAGCCTGGGTCAATAGAATGACCATGACATTTTTGTCCCCAGAGAATATGCTTTATACACTATGAATATTTAGGAAACTGTAAGCTATACTTCTTTGATTTTTCAAGTACTGCATATTAAATTGATTTTTTTAAAGGTACGTTGGGAGTTGTTTTGCTTTTTCCTTTAGAACTGAGAAATAGCATTTTTGTAAGGTACCTCCAATTTGAACGATTGTATGAGTTGTAATACACATTCCCTTCAAGGGGAATAAACAAAATAAAGTTTTTTAAGTAGTGTAAAATTGAACGCATTAGTTTCCTTTATATTCATCTCCTTCTTGGTCTGAAAGCCCAATGAGAGCACTGTTGTGTAGCTGCTACTATGAATTTCCTGGCATGTGTCCGAAAGTACCTAGTAGAAAGTTTATTTTAGAATATGATCTTTAGGGATAAACTAGAAATTGCAGATTTGCCCTAATGCACTGAGAACCAGTTTTTTTTTTGTATTTTCACATTTATGAGAAAGAAGCCCATACAGTAAAAATCTTCATTAGAAAAGATAAGAAGAGAACTGCTGCAGAGATCTGTTAACAATAAAAATGCGGAAAATAAAATCTGAGGGAAATTGTTCAATGCACATGAGAGTGGTGTGTGTATGTATGTATGCTTGACCTCTAAAATTCTCTGTCACAGATAGGATGGAAATGCTACACTGCAGTCATGAGACTGTTGTTAAAACATTTAAGAAAAATGGCATCTTGTGGATCTTGGTAATCATACCTGGATAGTTACTAAAAGTTAGCACAGCTTGCCCATGGTGCTGGATTTTCCCCACTACAGTGGAATTATTTGTTCATAATTTAGAAATAAAACACACTGATTCACATTTAAGTTGCACATTGTTTGATATCCTTACTGTGTGATCTACTTCACCCATTCAGCCTGTCATTTAGGTTGACTTCACATCTATAGTGTTTATGACAAATGTATTATATATAGTTGAATTTAGTAGTTTTTATTAGCTTGTAAATAAAAATGGAATCTTCTCCAATAAAATGGTATTGATCTTAATTTTTAAAAGGTAAATGGTGTTTCTTTTACGTGGAATACTTTCATTTATTATTTATTCTAAGTAGCTTCTATTAATTGTCCAATGTCACACAAAATGTGCTAAGGCTGAATCTCAATACTACAGTAAAATGATACTTTGGAATGCTAAGGATTAGCCATTTGTCTGCAGTACTGTTAAACACGTGTATGTTAGAAAGATCTGATAGTGACTGTGGAATCAGCTTTCTGTTAAAACTTAGCATATGACAAAAACAAAACAAAAAAAAACCAACTCTGATTTCCTTGGCTCTGTGTTGTGAATAGTGGACAGCTGATATTACTTACGAGAATAAGATTGATGAAAATTACAACACAACACTATTAGTATTTAAGGGGATACATTCTCCATTGTAGCATCTAAGTATCTGTAACTTAGAAGTTTTCTTTATGTAAAATAATTTTAGAAAAAATATTTTAAATGTCCTTATGAATGTTCAGAAATACTTGCTATTTTTCATTGGACAATATTGATTTACTCCCAATGGTTATATGCTTTTTTTTTTTTTTTTTGGTTGGTTGTGGGGCTTGAACTCGGGGCTTGGGCACTGTCCCTGAGCTCTTCAGCTTAAGGCAAGTACTCTACCACTTGAGCCACAGCACCACTTCTGGTTTGCTGGTGGTTAATTGGAGATAAAAATCTCATGGACTTTCCTTCCTGGGCTGGCTTGAACCGCTATTCTCAGATCTCAGCCTCCTGAGTAGCTAGGATTACAGGCGTGAGCCACTGGTGCCTGGCTCTTTGTATGCTTTTTGTGTGTTGGTTTAAGCTACTAGTTCACAGGTTGTTTGAGAAGGGGGAAACATTTTTTCCGTATTTCATCCTGATGAAAACTAATCCAGTTTATGAAATATAACATGTTTTGTATTTTCATTGTTAATCAGTGTTTGATTTTAGGGATTTTATAACTAACTTTAAAAAGAAGAACATAATGTATTGCACATTACCATGTGCTTTTGGTGTTAAACATTTTGTTTGATAATAAATCTTTTTCAGGTGCATTTTAGGAGTCATCAGCACGGTGGTGTCGAGGAGAATGTATGTCTGTTACCTCCAGCAGGGGGAGCATAGCTGCCTGAAGGCCCAACTGCTTCACTGAAAACCGCCTTGTTCAGGCTGAAGCTTCTCTTCTGGAAGCTGAGGCTACTTACTGACTACTCAAGACAGGGATTCTCTGACTTTGGACATTGACTGGAAAACTCCCTGATGGTCTTGCCAAGTCTGACTCACTTTGACACAACCTTTCTTATTGCTAAAATGTCCAGGAAGTTATTACAGCAGTTCAACGTTTAAAAAATGCTATCGAAGTTGCTAAATTTGGGTCACAACCTCATTGTAAACTGGTTGCCTTTATGCTCCCTGCCTATTTTTCCTCAGTGTCATTGCCCCAATAAATCTTTGGCATAGCTGATCCCATGGATGTTGGTGTCTGCTTCCAGGAGAATCTTGATTGACACAAATCGACCAGGAATGAGATTTGAGGAATGAGGAATTAATTGGGGATTAAGAGGTGACTTATCTCCTTCCCAAAAAGATAAGGATAAGGGTAGAGTTACCATAAGTATTTGGATTTTGATTTAAGATAGAATTGAAGTTTTGAAAAGGTTAAGATTTAGGGTAAAATTGAAATATAACTTGCTGAGTAACTTGTTTACAGGGTTAACGAGAATTTGTTTTAATAGTGGGATTAGGTAGGGTTTGGGTTATGGTTTGAGTGACATTTAAGAAATGGGAAAATTGAAAAACATTTAAGGATTATGAGAAAAAATTAGGATCAATGTTCACCCAAGTCTTGTTAGTATTGTGCTTAGAATAGAGACAGAATAAAAGGACTACAAGTTTAGGGTAAAATTGAGACTTAATGTACTGATTAGGAGTAGAGGAAAAGTTAGGGTTAGTGTTAAAGAGTTTGTATTACTGTTAGGATTTTTACAGTAAGATTGTTGGGTTGGGTTAGGATTCTGTTTACAGTTAGGGTTAGAAAAATGGTAAGGTTCAGGGTAAAATTAAAACTTCAAGGATTATATGATTAGAGTAAAAGTTAGAATTAGTGTTCCTTAGTCTTTGTTTTACTAATAGGATTCATGTTTTATGTAAAGTTAGGATTTCAGTTTATTAGGGACTTTGTGAAACCCTAATCTCAACACAAATACTTCTGTTTACATTAATCCTAACTTTTAGTTGTTCTCAAAATATGTTTTAATCTTACACTTTTTCTAACTCTGACCTTAACTCTAACACAAATCTTTACCTCTAGCCCTTGCCTAACCTAATCATTATAGTATCCAAATGATTCTGTTTTGCTTCTATTTATCATTATTAAAATAATTTTCAGTTTTACACTAAACCTTACCCTTTACTCTTAACACTAACCCAAACCTAGCCCTAATACTAGCCCTACCCAAATCCTAAAATACAAAAATTAACAGGAGCCCTAAATTTATTCCTAGTTCCCAATTAAGGTTAAATTTTTATCCTAAATCTTACCCTTTTCCTAACCCTAATCTGAACCTCAACCCTAATCTTTTTAAGTTTTTTATTGTGAAAATGCTGTACAGAGGGGTTATAGTTACATGAGCAAGGTAATGAGAACATTTCTTATCAAGCATTGTTGCCTCCTCCTCTGTTTTCCCCCTACCATCCCTTCCCTCCCACCTCCATAACTACACTCCTCACCCCCACCTAAATTATAAAGTTCATTTTTCTATATAGTGTCTTGTACATTTCATTATTGCATATCCCTATTTAAACATTTTGTTTTTTCTCTTCCCCTCCCCAAATTAATCTTAACACATACTCATCCCTTATCCTAAGAGTAGCATGAAAACTAGTTTAACCATAAGTTTTACTCCTCATCCTTACTTAAGTTTAACCACTCAATTGTATTCTTAATCCTCATTCACACTAGAACCCAAACCCTAATTACTCCTAAACCAGTTACACCTTAAACTTTACCCATTTCCTAACTCTTAATATAAACATAAACCTTCCAAAATTCTAAAAGTAATTCAAAGTCTTGACTTTGACTTTCATTCTTCATCTAATTGCTAAATTTTCAATTTCACTTTTTTTTTTGGGGGGGTGGTCGTGGGGCTTGAACTCTGGGCCTGGGCGCTGTCCCTCAGCTCTTCAGTTCAAGGCTAGTGCTCTACCACTTGTGCCACAGTGCCACTTCTGGCTTTTTCTGTGGTGCTGAGGAATTGAACTCAGGGCCTCATGCATGCGAGGCAAGCATTCTACCACCTTTCCAGCCCTCAATTTAACTCTTAACCTTTCCTATCAACCCTGAGCCCCATACCAAATTGTATCCTTAACCCTAATAGTAACACAGATGGTTTTTTTAACAGCAGCACTAAATTTTACTATTCCTAATCTTTACAATAAGTTTCACTGTAACTAACTATAACTACCCTTTCCTTAACTCTAAAAAAAACCAGAACCCTAACTCCAATTTAATTAACACAAAGACTAATAATACCGATTCTAACTTTCATTCTACCCTAATCCTTAAAATAAGTTTGTTTTACCCAACCCTTATTTTCCTAGCTTGAATACTAATAGTACCCTAATACTAGTAACACAAATACTCTGGTTTATATTTAACCTAACAATCATAATTCTTAAAGTTTCATTTTCAGATATGAGACCCTTGTCCGTTGTATGGCTAGTAAAGATCTTCTTCCAATCCATGGGCTTTCTATTGATCTTGCTAGCTATGTCATTTGCCCTGCAGAAGCTCTGCAACTTTATGCAATCCCAT